TGTGTTATTAAAAATAATTCCTACAGAATACTAATATTCCCAGATGAATCTGAGTCTCTTTTCACAATGAGTCAGCTACTCTGAAATTCTTGCTCTTAACTAGTACTCTTTTATGATTCTTACTATGTTTTAAATTTTAATTCTCTTTTCTCTTTGCATACTTGAATTGAGAACTCTGAACAATGCATCTGCTCTCCTCTAGAAACTTCTTGTTCCCTAATTTCTATAAATGAGTTCTATATCATTTTTGGCTATTTGAGCCAAATTCTAATAAGAAGTTCAGTATAACAACCCCCTCTCTGTCTCTGTCTGAGTTAGGGTTATCATTGCTGTGATGAAAACACCATGTCCAAAGAAATGTGGGGAGGAAAGGATTTGTTTGACTTGCACCTCCACATTGCTGTTTGTCATTAAATGACGTTAGCACAGGCACTCAAGCATGGATGCTTACTGGCTTTTCCCTCATGGCTTACTTAGTCTGCTTTCTTAGAGATCCCAGGACCACCTGGCTAGGGATGGCAGCACCATCCACACTGGGCTGCAATGTCCTACACAAAACACTAATTTAGAAAATATCCTACATGCTTGTCTACAATTGTCTTATGGAGACATTCTTCCAATTGAGGCATGTTCCTCCCAGATGAATTTAACTTGTGACAAGTTGACATAAAACTAGCCAACACACACACGACGGGGGGGAGGGAGGGAGGGAGGGAGAGAGAGAGAGAACACAATGTCAAATCTTAAAACAAAGATTTTGATGTGTGCTTTTGACCCTCACTTTACTGAGTAGGAAGTGAAAAGTACTGTTAGTATATATTTTAGAAGTGAACTAAAATCATTTTAGTGTTTGAGAGCATTTTGTATTTTGCAGAGACAGCATCTTTCCCAGATCTACTGGCAAGGAAATAACTCTGAAAGCATTTAGACTGTTCATCGTGTGTCACATTCCTTCACATTTCATTTTAATGCAAATTCTCCTTCAAAGCTAATATTGAAGCACAGTTTCAACAGTTCTTATTCCTCAAATGTAGGGAGTAATTGTACATCCAAGCATTTCTACACTACACTTCCAGCCTTTCTGTAGTGTCTCTACCTCCTGAGTTCTCTGGTTCACCTAGGAAGATCCAATCCTCCTTAGCATCAACCATCCTGCTAGCTGTGCTCGAAGCTCTCATTGCCATCCCTTAACTACTTGTCCTTTGTAAGCTCAATGTCATTGTTCTGTAAGAGTACTCCTCTGGTTGTAAAGGGAATAGACATGCCCATATATGTGTGTTACTAGCATATTCAATTGACCACTATTGCTGATTTATTAAACATTTGTTTTCTAATTTTGATAGCAAATCTAGATACCAACTTAAGTTTCAGAAATTGGTGTGGCAGTATGCTTATAACATAGAAACCACTGAAAACGTGAGAGATGAACAGTCAGTGAAGGGCTTCATAAACCCACTCTACTCTCAAACACGTTGTACTTTTTTTTCTGTTACAATAGTCATAGTGCCTATACCTATTTAATAGAAATAAAAATTACTGCTAAATAAGGATCATGATAACTGAAAGTACCTTGTTAGTCTCTTTTGTCAGAGGTGCTCTGTGTTTTAGTGAAAGGGCTTTTCAAAAAGTACACACAAATCACCGTTAAAATATATGCATGCTTTGTTATAGCTGATCAAAAAACACATAAGAAGAGAGACACAAGTAAATCTTTCACAATATTAGGGCCATCTGCTGAAATCCAAGAGTGAGCTCCTGATTCAAGAGGAAAATTTTCTTTTGAGTTACACAAACATCATTAAAATGCCAGATACAAAGCAGAAAAAGGTAATCCACTTGTGTTAGTGTGCGTGTATTTCTATAGCTTATATCATAACATATTTCTCATTTTTATAGGTTCATTTTCTAAAGATACTGTTGATTATGATGTTTATTTTTAGTCACTTTATGCCTCCATTTCAGTTTTTTAAATGGATCCATTCTAAAAGTCATAGTATTTAAGTGTGAGAAAGTTCAAAACCTATGAATACCATAGTTGTATATACACCTATAGAAGATATGCAATGTGCCTATCCTGTCAACCTCTTAAAATAAAATTTTATATCTATTCAAAGTGAAAATGTGCATATGTGTACACAGTATATAACTTCAGATGTGGTTTGATTGTGAATTGTCCCTCATAGTCTCCTCTGTTTGAACACTTGGTTTCCAAGTGATGAAGAAATTTTGGAAGGTTGTAGAACATTTGGGTGATTGTGCCTGTCAATTATGACAGGTTTTGGTCATAAGTTTCTTGAAAATCTTCCATTTGAAAGTCCATGACAAATGTCTCCTTGAATTTTGGTTGACTATGATTTACTTTTTAACCTGTAGAACCCTACAGGAGAGACAATAGATATATCTGTCAGAGAGGTTCATCATCTCTTACTGTCTTTGTAGGAACAGTGATGCTTGTGGCTGCACATGGTCATGAAAGAAGTTTATCTAAGTGAAATCCACCAAATTTGTAGAAACAAATCTGTGTAGTTGTGCCAAATTCTGGTTCTGTGCTCAAAACCTCCTGTATTTGAGTCCTCCTAGGTCTGGTGTCAGGTATAGTAACACACATGTGTTAACAGGCTTCAGACTTCAAGCCATCATCACATTGGCAGGTTTCAAACCTACCCAGAAGAACCTTGCAACACAGAGAAAGAGCCTCTGTTTCTCTTTTCAAATTCTAACCTCCTGATTCTGAGCAAATGTGTTCTGATTTTATACAGCACATTTTGGGATGGTTCCTTGCTCATAAATTATGATGAGAATAGCAATACACTTTAATATACTTACATCTCTGAAGTACTGGTTTTGGCTAATCTTGAATAATCAGCCAAGGGATTGAGGACACAAAAGAGTTTGAGGTCATGCTTATGCTTGGAGATACATTTTTATGACATTGGAGTTTGGAAAAATATTCTTCCAGTATGTAAGAAACAAGTCACCAAAGTCAGAAGGCACTTTGAAACCAAAACCCAAAATGAGTAGATCCAGGATGGATAGAGTGAAGTTTATCCAAGACTTCAGAACAGAAGATTATATTTTGTAGGAAGGTCTTGAACCCCAAAGCAGAAAAAGGGGCTTATAAACTAATCTGTGCAAAGAGGCTTGAAGGTCATAAGAATGTAGCAAAATATCCGTTTAGAAATAGTAGGTATGCCAGGCATTGGTGGCGCACTCCTTTAATCCCAGCACTCGGGAGGCAGAGGCAGGCAGATCTCTGTGAGTTCAAGGCCAGCCTGGTCTACAGAGCAAGATCCAGGACAGCCTCCAAAACAATACAGAGAAATCCTGTCTCGAAACTCCCCCCCCAAAAAAACCAGATATAGTAGGTCTATTGGCATCACGATGTGCCCAGTTATCTTAGGAACTTTGTCCTTTATGGTTTGGGATGTCTGTCAAGATCATTTGGCAGGCTGGATGGCATGGTGTCATGCTCTCTATCTCTGCATGACTAAAAGTAATCCAACTCACCAGGAGCCCAACTGTATTCTTTTCTTTTATCTTCTGTTCTGTCATATTGTTCTTTTCTTTTCTATTTATTCTTGTCTCATATAATAAATCTGAACCTCAGCAAGCACACCTGAGTGAATCTTCATGCATCATAATCATCCCTTTCACTAGTGAACACACCTAACCTGACTTTAACTTTACATAATACATACCTGTACTAAAATACCACATAAAAATAATTTATATGTATAGTTTTTTGACCTCATAGTTCAGTTAAAATAAATGTAGTAAAAGTTAGATAATGGACACTATTGAGCTAAATACATTAATATTACTTTTACATACAGAAATCTTGATTGATGACTTTTTGGAAACATTTTATTCATGCATATTATATTATCTGATATTTAAATGACATGAAAAGGCATGCAGAAAATGGGAATTTGCTGAGGATATGGACATGTAACTGGAATCCTAGCAAATGGAAATCTGTGGCAGATAGATCTCGATTTTAAGGACAGCCTTGTCTGCATATTAATATCTTGTTAGAAAGAAATGCAGCGGGAGTGAAGAAAGCAGAGAAGGGAGAGGGAGAGAGAGAAGATGGAGAGGAAAAGGAAAAAGACAGAAACAGAGATTGATTTATTGACTATTCAGTTATCCAAACAAACCTCTGGTATCTCCTACGATTAAGCAGCTGTCATTGAGTAACATACACTCAGTTAACAGTGGAGTGAACTGCACAAATGTTCTTTAAAAGTGCAGCAATCTGAAGGCACTGAAGGCACACAGAGCTGATGGAAAGGGGCAGAGAGCTGAGACTGCAGGAGGGACTTGCCCAGGAGTTTATTCTTTCTGCTTGAAGACAATGGCACACTTGGTAGTGGGTGGGAGCAGTGGGTAACCATATATCCAAGAATCAAAACAAAAACAAAAACCTCTTTGCAGCCTTTCTAGCTGTCAGGGATCAGAAAATGGAGAACTGGGCATTGAGAGTCAATGCAAACTGACAAAAAGACTATTATGTGCAGGCATTAATGTCTTAAACTTTGGAAGTTAGAGATGGGTGATGAGTACTATGTCTGATATATACACTAATCAATAAGTAGTGGTAGTTATTAATATATTGTAGGTTCTGTTTATCACAAAATATCAGCCAGTCAACTGTCAACACTGAAGAGCATTAAGTATGGATATAAATCTTTACAATGGGATAAGATGTAATCTATATTTCCAAATGTTATTGTAATTTACAATAGAGACTATAATCTCTAGTTCCATAGCTTGGACAGTACTAGGGTGTGTGAGTGCTCTTACTGATACTGCCAGGATAGGGAATTTTCCAGTCTTCAGAAACCAGCCGATCCATAACCACCTGCCAGTCATGGCTCTTCCTGATTTCTGTAGTTACCAACACTCTGGGCTTGTATTACAATTTATTATATAGCTCTTGTTTCTTTTATTTTGTGCCTTCCCTTTTCAACTATTTTAAAATTATTTTTATTTATTTATAGGTGTGACCATCTGAGTGTATTACACCTTGTGTGTGTACCTGTTCAAGCCATAAGAAGGTGTGTGGTCTCTCAGGACCTGAAGTTAGGTAGCTGTGAGCTGTCATGGGGTTGGTAGGAACTGAACTCTGGTCCTCTGAAAGAGTACAAAGCGCTGCTTAGCACATAGCCATCTGTCCAGCCCTCCTTCGACCATTGTCCTTAATCCCTGTATGTGAAAGAACCCAAGGTCTTTATTCTATGAATGTTTTACAAAGGCATAGTCCCTGCATACCCTAAACAAAAGAAGCTGAAATCATAATCCTGGAAAACTTATTATTTTTCTTTTATCAGGGTATGTCTAATATCTGATGACCCCTCATTTATTTATTTTTGATAGTGGCTGTTGATTTTCATTGTCTAGATTAATTTTTCTTTTGAGTTTGCTGAGTAATGTCACATTAACTGTATAAGACATAGCTGGGCAATACATGTGTTAGCTTGAAAGTCTGTTTCAAGTCTAGAAAAAAAAGGTGAGGATGCAACCATTAATCCCAGAAGCCCAAGAAAGCATACATTACTAGAAGTGGTGGTATAGTAATCAGAGAATAAGGAAGAGATTGCAACACTGTCTTAGTTAAGGTTTTTATTGCTGTGAAGAGACTCCATGAGCATGGCAGCTCTTATAAAGCTGGCTTGCTTACCGTTTGAGAGGTTTAGTCCATTGTCTTCATAAAGGGAACATGGCAGCTTGCCGGCATATGTCATGCAGGCAACAAGAAATCAGATGAGACACTGGGCAGTATCCTGAGCATAGGAAACCTGAAAACATGCCCCCGCAGTGACACACTTCCTCTAACAAGGCCATACCAACTCCAACAAAGCCACACCTCCTAATAGTGCCATTCCCTATGAGATTATGGGGGCTAATTACATTCAACTATTTATATTGAATTTCAGATTTTGTCAAATTGAAAATCTGATGTGGAAGTAAAACTCAGAAAGAAAGATGCTAGGCTGAAATACCAGAAATATTGTGCCAGGGCTATCTTCTGCAATAAACACTGGTGCACTAATATGTTTCTATGTTATCAATTCATAAAATAGTTACTGCTATGAATTTATTTTTAAAAGATCTATGTTTATTATTTTAAAATCGGTGTGTGTGTGTGTGTGTGTGAGTGTGTGTGTGTGTGTGTATGCACAAATTACTGTAGCCCACAGAGTTCAAAGAGAACATTGATACCCTGGAGCTAGAGTTACAGGCAATTGTGAGCAGCCTAATGTGGGTACTGGGAATTGAACTCAGGTCCTCTCCAAGAACAGTGCTCTTAACCCTTGAGCCATCTCTCTAGTCCCTCATTTAATTATTATCTCTAAGAAAATGTTTAATGCTTCTAACCAATTAATTTCCTTATTAATGAGTTAATGAAAATAATTATAAAATTAGAAATTTTATCAACTGTAATTTGAATTTGTTTCATATGTTTATGGTGAAAATCCCATCACTGTTAGGTAGGATCTCGAGTTTATTTGTAATAAGAGAGCTACAACATATGCACCTAGTTGTCCCTGTTCTGTCATTAAGTAGATGACCTGAACAGTATATTGCTTTGTATGCTTAGCTATTCTTTGAGTTAAGATTGGGGAAAACAGAATAATGAGAATTGCTTATATTTAAATTTTTAGATTATACTAGTCTCTGCGGTACTTTTTGTGTATTAGGTAACTTGGGTATTCTTTCAACATATACTGTCTATACAATACTTGTACTTTATGTTTTTTTATGGGGAGCAAAGAATAATTTGCCTGACTTCCATAACTATAGGAAAATTACAAGAATAACCAATTGGAAAATACATTTCTTAGGATTCGGTGAACCTGAAACATCTCCTTTTGGCATGTACAGCTGTGTCGGTGTAGTGCAGGGTTGCGTGTGCGCTGATGCCTTCTCTTTGTCTCAGTATCTCTCCTGTCACTCGGCCGCAAGTCAGCGCTCCACTCAGCTCTCATCCTTAACATCCCCACCAAGTGCCCTTGAGCGGTCTCTTCAGCTTTAATCATCACTTTTAGGACTTCAGCCACCAACGCCAACAAAGAGCCTGGATGTGGAGGTAGGGCTTACTCTTGTGACATTGGTGAAGTTGTCGTGCCAAGATGAAATTTAGTATCTTTCTTGCAACATCTAAAAGTGAAATCTCTTGCTACCAAGCATGTAATTCTATATTCAGCACACCCTTTTAATCACTTCAGAAAAAGGTGTTTGGGAAACGTACTCACATGTTATTCAGACAACTCAATGATACTATGTTTACCTTTGAGCCATTTTGTCAGTCATGTGATCTGTTCATTAGTACTTAGGCATTTGTACTGCCCTGCCTTTGCAGTTTGCCCTCTAGTATAGTCCCTCAGCTGCTGCCACTAAGAGCACCATCTGTGCATATTCACTATGTTCCTTTTTATAATTACTTTAAGTTTTAATAGCTTGCTTCACATGTCAACCCCAGTTCCCTCTCCTTCCCCTCCTCCCGCACCCCCACCACCATCTCCCCCCAGCCTCCCACCATATCCCACTTCCTTCCAAATAGGGTATATCCAGAGTCTGTCATTTCACTCAGGGCAGGGTCCAGGCACTCCCCTAAGACTCCAGGCTGAGAGAGCATTCCTCTTTGTGCTATGAACACATGAAGTCCATTTGTATGTACTGCCGATGGTCCCATAGGTTGCCCAGGGCTCCTCACTGACTCTCACACTCAGGGGATCTGGATCAGTCTCATGCTGGCCTCCCAGCTGTTGGTCTGGGGTCCAAGAGCTCCCCCTTGTTCAGTCTCTGCTGGTTTTTCCAGCCCATTTTTGCCAATTTTCTCATTGCTCCTCTCTCTGTGTCACTGGGTTCCTTGGGTTCAGTTCACTGTTTAATTGTGCTGGTTTGCCTCTGCTCCATCAGTCACTGGATAAAGGTTCTAGGATGGCATATAGTGTAGACGTCAATTTTTTTTGGTTTTTTACGAGACAGGGTTTCTCTGTATTGTTTTGGAGGCTGTCGGTCCAGCCTGGCCTTGAACTCACAGAGATCCGCCTGTCTCTGCTTCCGGAGTGCTGGCATTAAAGGCATGCGCCACCACTGCCCGGTAGATGTCAAGTTCATTATCAGGAATGGGCATTTAAGGTGGACTCTCAACTATTGCTTAGCTTGCCATTTGGTGTCATCCTTTTAGATAGCCAGAGGTCTCACTGGTGCCAGATCTCTCTTCAAACCTATGACTCTCTAATATGGTAGTTGATCTATTTGAATTTAAGTTTTGTGCAAGGCGATAGACATGGATCTATATGCAGTCTTCTCTGCATGCCAATATCCAGTTATGCCGGCATCATTTGTTGCAGATATTCTCTTTTTTCCATTGTATAATTTTAGCTTCTTTGTTAAAAATCAAGTGTTCATAGGTGTGTGGGTTAATATCAGGGTTTTCAATTCGATTCCATTGGTCTACCTGTCTATTTTTGTTCTAATACCAAGCTGTTTTCATTACTATAGCTCTGTAATAGAGCTTGAAGTCAGGTATAGGGATGCATCCTGAAGTTCCTTTACTGTACAGGGTTGTTTTGGCTATCCTGAGCCTTTTGTTTTTCCATATAAAGTTGATTATTGTTCTTTCAGGGTCTGTGAATAATTGTGCTGGAATTTTGATAGGGATTGCATTGAATCTGTAGACTGCTTTTGGCAAGATTGCCATTTTTATTATGTTGATCCTACCAATCCAAGAGCATGGGAGATCTTTCCATTTTCTGGTATCCTCTTTGATTTCTTTCTTTAGAGACTCAAAGTTATTGATATACAGGTCTTTCACTTCTTTGGTTAACGTTATCCCCAGATATTTGATGCTGTTTATTGCTATTGTAAAGGGTGATGTTTCCATGATTTCTTTCTTAGCCACTTTATCATCTGTATATAATAGGGCCACTGATTTTTTGAGTTAACCTTGTAACCTGCCACTTTGCTGAAGGTGTGTATCAGCTCTAGGAGTTCCCTTGCAGAGTTTTTCAAGTCACTTATGTAAACTATCATATCATTTTCAAACAGTGAAAGCTTGACTTCTTCTTTTCCTATTTGTATCCCTTTGATCTACTTTTGTTGTCTTATTGCTCTAGCTAGAAATTTAACTACAATATTGAAGAGATATGGAGAGAGTGGACAGCCTTGTCTTGTTCCTGATTTTAGGGGAATTGCGTTGAGTTTCTCTTCATTTAGTTGATGTTAGCTGTTGGTTCACTGTATATTGCTTTTATTATATTCAGGTACATTCCTGTTATCTCTGATCACTCTAGGACCTTTATCATGAAGGGGTGCTGGATTTTGTCAAAGGCTTTTTCAGCATCTAGTGAGATGATCATGTGTTTTTTCTTTTGCAGTTTGTTTATATGGTGGATTACATTGATAGATTTTCTAATGTTGAACCATCCCTGCATTCCTGGGATGAAGCCTACTTGATCATGGTGGATGATTTTTCTGATGTGTTCTTGAATCTGATTTTCTAGTATTTTATTGAGTATTTTTGCATCAATGTTCATGAGGGAAATTGGTCTATAGTCTATAGTTCTCTTTCTTAGTTGTGCCTTTGTGTGGCTTGTGTACCAAGGTAATTGTACCCTCGTAAAAAGAGTTTGGCAGTGAGCCTCCTGCTTCTATTGTGTGGAACACTTTGAGAAGTATTGGAATTAGCTCTTCTTTGAATTTCTGGTAGAGTTCTTCACTGAAGCTATCTGGGACTGGGATTTTTTGGTTGGGAGAAGTTTGATGACTGCTTCTATTTTTTTAAAGGCTATAGGTCTGTTTAGATTGTTCATCTGCTTTTGATTTAGTTTCGGCAAGTGATATCTCTGCAGGAAATTGTCCATTTCCTTTAAATTTTCGAATTTTGTGCTTTACAGGTTTTCAAAGTATGCCCTGATGATTCTCTGAATTTCATCAGTGTCTGTTGTTATGTTCCCCTTTTCATTTCTGTTTTTGTTAATTTTCATGTTCACACTCTGCTGTTTGGTAAGTTTGTACAAAGGTTTGTCTATCTTGTTGATTTTCTCAAAGAACCAACTCTTTGTTTCATTGATTCTTTGCAATATTTTCCTGGCTTATACTTGATTGATTTCAGCCCTCAATTTGATTATTTCCTGGCATCTACTCCTCCTGGGTAAGTTTGCTTCTTTTTGTTCTAGAGCATTCAGCTATGCTATTAATTCTCTAGTGTGACTATTCTCCAGTTTCTTCATGTGAGCACTTAGTGCTATGAACTTTCCTCTCAGCACTGCTTTCAGAGTGTCCCATAAGTTTGGGTATGTTGTGTCTTCATTCTCATTGAATACCAGGAAGCCTTTTATTTCTCCTGTTATTTCTTCCTTTACCCAGAGATGGTGCAATTGTGCATTGTTCAATTTCCATGAGTTTGTAGGGTTTCTGCGATTTGTGTTATTGTTGAATTCTAACTTTAATTCATGGTGTTCTGATAAGATACAGGGGTTTATTCCAAAGTTTTTATATCTGTGGAGGTTTACTATGTTTCCTATTATGTGGTCAATTTTAGAGAAGGTTACATGTGGCACCGAGAAGAATGCATATCCCTTTGTGTTTGGGTGGAAAGTTCTATAGATGTCTGTTAAACCCAGTTGGGTCATAACTTCTATTAGTTCTTTTGTTTCTTTGTTAAGTTTCTGTCTGGAGGTCCTGTCTAATGGTGAGAGAGGACTGTTGAAGTCCCCTACTACTAGTGTGTGAGATTTCATGTGCGATTTGAGCTTTAGTTTATTTTTATTATTATTATTATTATTTTTTGGTTTACGAGACAGGGTTTCTCTGATTTGGAGGCTGTAAGTCCAGCCTGGCCTCGAACTCACAGAGATCCACCTGCCTCTGCCTCCCAAGTGCTGGGATTAAAGGCGTGCGCCACCAACGCCCGGTGTGGTTTGAGCTTTAGTAATGTTTCTTTCATGAATGTGAGTGTCTTCATATTTGGGGCATATGTTCAAAATTGAGACTTCATCTTGATGGACTTTTCCTTTGATGAATATGAAATATCCTTCTTCATCTCTTTTGATTGATTTTAATTTGAAGTCTAATTTGTTAGATATTAGGATTGCTACACCAGCTTGTTTCTTGGGTCAGTTTGATTGGAAAATCTTTTCCCAACCCTTTATTCTGAGGTAACGGGTGTGTTTGACGTTGAGATGTGTTTCTTGTATGCAGCAGATGGATTGGTTCTGTCTATGTATCCATTCTGCTGGTCTGTGTCTTTTTATAGACAAGTTGAGACCGTTAACATTGAGGGATATTAATGACCATTGATTGATGATTCTTGTTTGTGTTTGATTTATTGGTAGTGGAGCTATTGTGTGTAGGTTCTCCTCCCTTTTTCTTTTGGTGTTTGGTAAAGTGGGATTATCTATTGCTTATGTCTTAGTGAGTGTAGTTATCTTCGTTGGGTCTAAGTTTTCCTTCCAGAACCTCCTGTAGAGCTGGATTCATGGATACGTATTGTTTAAATCTGACTTTGTCATGGAATATTTTGTTTTCTCCATCTATGGCAATTGAAAGCTTTATTGGATATAGTAGTCTGGGATGGCATCCTTGTTCCCTTAGCATTTGTAGGACATCTGTCCAGGATCTTCTGGCTTTCATAATTTCCATTGAGAAGTCAGGTGTAATTCAGATAGGTCTGCCATTATACGTTACTTGGTCTTTTTCTTAAGCTGCTCTTAATATTTTCTCTTTATTCTGTAGGTTTGATGTTTTGATTATTATGTGGCGAGGTGACTTCTTTTTGTGGCCCAGCCTATTTGCTGTTCTGTAAGATTCTTGTATGTCCATAGGCATATCCTTCTTTAGGTTAGGGAAATTTTCTTCTATGATTTTGTTGAATATGTTTTCTGTACCTTTGAGCTGTATTTCTTCTCCTTCTTCTGTACCTATTATTCTCAGGTTTGGCTTTTTCACAGTGTCCCATATTTCCTGGATATTTTGTGTTAGGGATTTGTTGGTTTTGAGATTTTCTTTGGTTGATGACTGTGCATCCTCTAATGAGTCTTCAACACCTGAGATTCTTCTATCTCTTGTATTTTATTAGTG